GTGTGTGTGTGTGTGTGTGTGTTTGTGAGAGAGAGAGAGAGTGGTCCTACACCCTGAGGACTACTAGAGTGTGGATAGAAATGAGGCATAAAATGTAAACAGCAATTATGCAAAAAAAAAACCATAGGATATCAAAAAGCTGCTTATGGTATGAATAGCTGAAGAGTTGCTGATGGGTTAACAGTTGAAATGGTGTTTTTAGCTGTGGCAAAAGCTGAACATTTTGATACCTGACAATATGCTGAACTTATTAAGAAGTTAAAATATTCCCACTGGGGGGGTGTTTATGTCTGTGTGTGTGTATGAGAATGAAAGAGAAGTCCTACACCCTGAGGACTACTAGGGTATAGCTATGGAAATGAGGTATAAAATATAAACAGTAATTATGCAAAAACTGTAAAAGATATCAAAAAGCTGTGTACATTATGAATAGCTGAAGAGTTGCCGAATAGATCTGAATAGATAACAGTTGAAATGGTGTTTTTAGCTGAAGGTATGCTGAAGGAATTAAGTGCCAAAAAACGTACAGAAGAAATCGGAATAATAATGATAAATAAGAGGAAAACATAGTGTGGATGCTACAGCATCCACACAATAAAGAACAGGAAAACATAGTATGGATGCTGAATCTGCCTCCATACAATGAGAGCTGAATTCAGCTGTGGGCAGCGTAATGGCTGAAAGCTCTGTGACCTTGTTTAGCTCAAAATTTGGGCACCACTAGCTGAACAGTGTAGAAAGAAATTCTTGATAAAATAATATAGTGCTATGTTATGTATTTGCAAAACTGTTTAAAAGATTGTTTAATCTGCTTGACCTTTATAATGGCTTGACCTGTGCACTAGAAATGCTGTGTGTCTAAGTGCAGACAACAGGAAGTTGCGCAGATGCAGACTGAGATGACTGGACTGTCTGCAAGAAGAGATGCGAGTGGGTATAAGGTCTTATTGTTTTGGCTTTAGATTATCAACATTTATCAACATTATATGAAATACTTGGCCTTCTATGATTGACATTATAATCTGCATTAGCAAATATATCTACATGTTTATTTTAGTATCATATGCTTTATAATTTCCTTTCAGTTAACTATTTAATTTGTCTTTAGGAGTGCAGGAGACTCAGAGATGACAATAACAGAACCTGGGTAGGCTGTAAGGCTGTAAGAAATAGACAGGAAACCACAAACAGGAACAAGGCCAGGTTGCATAGCAACGCTGCCGGTCACAGGGGTAGATGAGACATGAGCAAGAGGTGCTGTCCCTAAAACTGCCTATGTGCTTACGGCATTGAAAGGTCAGGATGTTGTCCTTAGAATTTCACAGATCAAAATCTGCCTGGGGACAAGATCACCAAATGAGGGGTCAGAATGAGGTCAACAAACCAACCGAGGAACGAGGATGAAGGACAACACGGATGATGTCAGATCAACCGACATTTGCACATTCAAAAAACTGTATAACTTGACTGGGTCCAGAAGTCAGGCATTCCTCTTGTTCCGAAGGCAAGTGGAACAGTTTTGCTGTTTAGAATCAGGGCCTCAGATAGAGACGGACCCAGAGCTCTGTATTGCTTTTCTTGAATATTGTAATAAATATCTTAATGGACAGATTTGTCTTTGAGCATTCTCCATAAAAGAACACACAGGACTGGTTGAGTCCAACAACAGTCCCTGCAGATCTGAGACACTTACAGGCTCAGTAAACATATCACTGATATATTTTGGGCCCAGACCATTGAGAGACTTGTATATAATAAGTAGGGCCTTAAATAAGCCAGTACAAAGAACTAAGGACTGGAGTAATGAGGTCTCTCTTCCTGGTGCTTGTCAGTATTCTAATAGCAGCATTTTGACTGAGTTGCAGTTGTCTGATGGTCCTACTGGGGAGATCAGTTAGGAATGCATTACCTTAGTCTACCCTAAGAAAAATGAAAGTATGAATGAGCTTTTCAAAATTCTGCTTAGACAGAAAGTTTCTTATTTTAGCTATTTTTAAGATGATGGTTTTGTTACAGCTTTGTGGCCATTAAAATGTAGATCCTAATCAATAATTACAGCAACATTCCTGACACAGGTGTTAGCTTTTAGTGTCCTGAACTTAAGGTAATTAGTGACCGCTAGCCTTCTTTCTTTATTTAAAAAAATAATGATTTGTTTTATTTAGTTGAAGGGAATTTTATTGCATCCAGTTGTTCACATTTTCAAGACACAGACATAATACATCTATAGGACCATAGTCATTTGGTGAGAGTGTTAAATATATCTGGGTATCATCCCCATAGCTATGATAAGCAACACTACATTCCTGGAAAATTTAAAAAAAAGTGGAAGCATGTATGGGTTGAAGAGGAGGGGCCTTAAAATCAGTCCTTGTTGGACACCATACCTCACATTTGTAATTAGCAATACTGACTACGTCTTCTAGATATGATGTGAGACACATGAGGATGGTTACAGTGACAATGTAAGTAATTTGACACAGATGGGTTAGGGAGACACTACAAGGCTACAGTATACAGAAATCAGTGAAGGAGAAAGCTTTGGAGATGAGAGGAAGTGATTTTTCCAAGACTAAGACTTGGACATATTGGACTAAAATCAACCTTTTATTTAATGTCAAGGTGTATATCAGATAAATGTGATGTTTGTAATGTCCCTCAAGATGTAGAACATGTCCTAATGAAGGGTAATAAATATAATTCAGTGATGAACACCTTATGTGATAAGATACAGTATATGAATTAGGATGAGGATGGAATCTGCTAGGGATTTTAGGGATTGGTGAGTAGATGTGGAAATGCTGCAAAGCTCCATTTACTTTACTCAAAAATTTGGGATTAGAAAGTAAGATATGGTGTTTCTTTTTTTCCATCCTGATCAACTAGCTAGTGTGTATACAAACATCTTCAACCTGTCCTTAACCCAAGCAGTAGTTCCTCACATTTAAAAAAAAAAACTCATTATCATACCGATCCCTAAGACATCAAACACATCCACTCTGAATGACTTCAGGCCAGTGGCACTCATATCAGTCGCCATGAAGTGCTTAGAGAAACTGGTCCTCACACATGTTAACCACACGGTCCTGGACACTGTAGACCCCCTCCAGATTGTCTACCGCCCAAACAGATCAGTGGATGACGCGATGGCTCTGGCTTTACAGTATTCCATACCCTGAAACACCTGGACAATAGCAGTGCTAGGATGCTCTTCCTGGATTACAGTTCTGCATTCAACACCATTTGCCCGGGCAGGCTGATTGAGAAGATGACAGACCTCGGTATACCAACTCCCACCTCTAACTGGATTCTGGAGTTCCTGACTGAAAGACCACAGGTAGTTAGAATGAGAGGGTGGGTGTCTGCTGAGCTCACAATCAGCACAGGCTCACTGTAGGGCTGCTGTCTCAGCCCCAAACTCTTCACCCTGTACACCCACGACTGGGTGTACAGGGTGTATCTCCAACCATGACAACAATATCATCATTAAATATGCTGATGACACCACCATTCTGGGCCTCATCAAGGGGGGAGACGAGTCGGGTTACAGAAGCTTGGTGAACAACAATCTTGTTTATGGGGAGGAGAATGACCTCATCCTCAACATAAACAAGACAAAAGAAATAATAGTAGACTTCAGGAATAACCCCTCCCCTCTGCTGCCTCTGACCATCAAAGGGACTGAGGTGGAGAGGGTTGACAGCCACAAGTTCCTGGGCCTGCAGGTGACATCTGACCTGAGCTGGTCACTGAACACAGCTGCCACAGCAGCGGCTATACTTCATCAGGCAGCTCAGGAAAGCTGGGTTGAACCGTTGCCCTCTCACCCAGGCTTATAGAGGAATAGTACAGAGCATCCTCACTACTGGCATCACAGTCTGGTATGGTAACACCACACAGGCAGAGAGGAAGGCTCTTCAAATGGTCATAAAGACTTTAGAGAGGATCACTGGGACTGAACTGCCTGCTATGGACACACTGTACACACACACAGCGCTGTCGTAAAAGGGTAGAGAACATACTCAGAGACCCACGCCACCCAGCTTACTCTCTGCTCAGACACAAAAACTGCACCTACAGCCTCAGGCACAGCAGGACGGACTGTATCATCACACACAGAACTAGACTTTAAAACAGTTTTTTATCTGCCACAGTAAGACTGATGGCAAATATATGTGCAATAACCCCTTACTAGACATGCACCATAATAATACAGAAATGTTCCACAAGATTTTTTTTTAAAAGCATCTCATCAACAGTGTTTTCTTGTGGGACCTGAATAATAGCAGGACATTCTCTACCAAGCAATGGAAACAGGCCTGAATATAAACTGTGTTTTAGTATGTTATAACCCCTCACTACCTCAACAAGCGTAATGCCATATCCAACCCCACCATGTGAATTACTAAGTGCGATGTTTGAAGTTCAATGGGGAAATACTATCACCCTATTTTTGTGTATTGTGCTTTAATACACGGTATTCGGGAGGCAACAGTGGTTCAGTGGGTAGAGCAGTTGTCTCCCAACCAAAAGGTTGAAAGTTTGAATCTTGGTACCTGCAGTCGAAGTGTCCTTGGGCAAGACACTGTACTCCCCCATTGCCCCTGATGGCTAGAGCCATCGGTTCAGTTGATGCCGCAGATGACTGCCTCGGTTCTGTACTGGAAACAAATTCATTGTGTGTAACATACCTGGCCAATAAAGGTGATTATCCTAATACTTTGTTGCCCTTATGTAACTTTTATTTTAAGACTAAGTGTTCTTTCTGGCTTTTGACTCCTTACCTGACTCCAAAGGAGAGCTGCACAAGAATTCCTATATGTCTAGACTGTCTGTTTATGCATAAATGGCAAATAAAAATCTTGACTTGACTTGAGTACATAGAACCCTGATGTGACATATTCTTGTGCAGTAGGTGGCGGTATGCAGCCAAGTGCGCTGGATTGCAACCCGCAACTAAGACAAGAGAAGAAGAAGAAGAAGAAGACGAAGAAGAAGAAGAAACTGACCAATGAGATGCACTGTCTGTTACTCGACACGGAAATAAGTTTAAGGCGCCAATTTTGTCTTCTTGTTGACATCGACAAAATTTTCCTGTCTCTGTTTGTTCTACTCGTCATAACATTGCTGCAATGGCTGAAAACACTTTTCCTATTTATAATGTGGATGCGATAGTGAACTTTTACCGAACAGAAGTTCTCACTGGCCAAGAGGCCAAGCATTTCACCAACAGCGACTTAACTCCGACACCCAAGGTAACGTCCGTTCTACATAATAGACTTAACAGCTAAATTACTTTAGTGACGGGGACCGAGGTTTTCCACAGTAGCCACACCCAGCTGTTGATAAGACATTAAAACCTTTAACTACCATGGAAGTAGAGAAGGGCTGTTGTGGGATCAAGCTGTAAATATTTAGCTAGCTAGACTTCAGTGAAAAGAGTTGAGCTAGATGAGACAGCAGCCTGTAATGGAGATGTGGTTTGTTTCACAGTCAACAGTCCTTTTTATACTGCAGATGTGTAACTCACTTAATAATTATCTCTTCCAGCCAGAGGCAGTTCAAACATTGTACATGAGAGTGCTGCATCTCCTGTATCGCTTCAGACCTGAGTGTCACTTTATGGTAAGTACTGAGTTTAATTGGTGGACAGCTGACCACACTGCATCCATATATATACAGTATATTGTTGCACTGTGGAACCTTTAAATTCAAGTTGTCTCATCTGTTCCCGTCTGTCTGGTATTACTATGTCACTTTCAACAGGTAATATTTACTTTATGTAGGATGTGATGCATTGGTAAATATCAGTCATCACCTTGTACACCTACATTTGCTTTTAATTGAGAGCCTGATTTGCTTTTCCCAAACAGGTGCCACCTGTGGATAACCTGCAGTATCCAGAGTATCACGAGGGAGCTACTGCTCTTATGAGTGTCTACATGTGCATGTGAGTTATATATGGATATACAGGAATGTAGTATGGAGCAGCTGCCACAGAATGGGAGCTATGAATGTTGCAGATGATTACTTTATATGTTCAGACTAGAGTTGTCAAAAATATTGATTTTTTTTTTTTTTTATACGTATGGATGCTGAAAATGTTTCTAAAATTTAATACTCATTTTCCATAATACTAATACACTGATGCTTTCTCTGTTTTTTTGCTCTCCAATACCAATTTACATACACACAGCTTTGCCTCCCTTCACTCACTCATTTTGCTGTCTGCCTCATCACTCATCTCATTTGTTCCAGTGGAATTTCAAGCTAACAGTAGACTGCGGTATACTGTGGGGTTTGCTGTGGTGTTAGCTCATTACAGATGACAAATGCAGAACCTTCGTTTACAGTTCTTTATATTTTGCAGGGGCCGTGTCCCCCGCTGAGGTTAAACACTACATCAATTCTGCTCTTCTCTGCTACTAGGAAAAAAAAAGAAAATCATAACTCGTCATGTTATAGCCTTGTTGCACTTACCTTTCAAATAAAATGTAGAATGTTATGCCCTCAGTTAGGTGTCAGATGTTCCCAGCATTGTTGAAAATCAGTATTTTTCAAGGTATTGTATCGAAGTTAGTTATGCAAGAGGTATTTCTGTACGTTTCCATTATTTAACATTGTTTATCTTTTTAGGCGACAGTTTCTACCTGTGTGCATGGTATATGATTTCTCACTGAATGATCTTCTAACCCCAAGTAAGTATGATTCTTAGTTTGTCTTTCCATGATTGTTATAAAATGTCTCACATAGTTTACTGGCTAATAAACATCTGACAATTGGTATCCAGTCCTTTAGTAATGGTCTTGTTGTTCCTTTCCAGAAAAACAGAGGACTCTGACTATTCTAAGTGCCATCATGAACTTTGTGCACTTCAGGAACCAAAGGATGGTCGTGATGCAGGAGAAACAGGCCAAACTGGTATGTTATGTTCGTCAAAACGGGGACGCCAGTGTATTTAGCCTACTGCTAACCCCACTAGTGGTATAGTATTCCGTTTAAAATATGGTGTTTAGACCTCTACAGGTGATTTGGCACCGCTTTTCTGTTGTGGATCCCTGTTTTGGTCATTGTGAGCATGAGGCCCCACAAACACACACACACACAGGGGTGATGTGATGCATAGTCCTGCCAGTGGTTTCACTTTTCTACTCAGCTGGTGGAGGTGACAAGCTGAGATGTAATGAAAGGTAAAAAACCTGGAGACATCTTGCTAAACTGTTCATGAAAGTGGTATAGGTAGAACTTTGAATGCAGAGAAACCTCTTGAATGCACATTTGTGCTTAATGTTATGCTTTAATCTTGGTAACTGGCCACCTTGTGTCTTGATAAGGATTTTTTTTTTTTGAAGCACAAACTTGTGCAGCAGAGGGGAGGGGTTATTCCTGAAGGTTATGACTTATTCCCTCAGGTATTAACCATACTTCTGATCTCAGTGTGTGTTTGGAGTTTCACATACTGCAACAGTTTGTTTCTCTGTTGTCAGAGGGCAGACCTAGAGAGGCTACAGACTTACACCAGAGCCAATCTAGAAATGGAGAAGAAGATTCAGATGCTGACGTGAGTCCTGTATTAAGCCTTGTTTTCCCATATAGCTGTAAAATACCCAGTGTTGAGGTAACATGGGTAAAGCTGACTGAGTTTTTATCTTGTGATGCTTTTTTTGTGTTTGATAAACCAAAAAACATTATTATTTTTTCATTGTGACACATGGCATCAGAGTCCTGCATGGGTCCAATTTTGGAAACCTGCAAAGACACAGCCTGTTACCCAGAGTTATTTCTAAGTGAAATCCGGACCCTACTCATACCTGTAATTAAAATAGACTTTAAGCTACACAGTCACTTATTGTACTTTAAAGTGCTTGAGAGCTGTGTTCTTGGACAAGTATCTGTCGATGGACTTGGCACCTGGGCTCTGCAGCTGTTCCCGTAGTGAGGAAATGTGTAGCTTGCAGATATCAAACGCTAACACTTTTAGGCACTATTTACAAGCAGCAAAGCCGCTCACTGTCTGTAACCACACTGAATTTCTCCCATACATCCGACTTGGCCTTCGATGATGTGCTGTCCACAATTTTCTATTCACCACTGGCTGTGTTCACTTTTAGCTCATCTAGTTTGACACAGTGACGCCTGGTCTACGCTTGTCTAAGTGAAGTCCTTATTGTGTTATTGATGTGAGTTGAGGGGTCAATGGTTATAATCATAGACCTTCACAATAAATGCATCGGTTATATAGGCTCAATAAAATTATGCTGGACTAGGTGTTTAAAAGAAGCTGCGCCCTTATTTATTTTAAATTTTAATTCTGTTTATTTCACTCACTACCTGCCCACATTTGGTTTAGTGTTGTGCTTTACATGGTGCAGGACTTTACACTGCGTACACTGATTAATTGCTTAGTTGATCAAAAAAAATTTGCAGCCATGTTGATGATAAATTTGTGATGTAAGTATTTAATAAGCAAACATCCTAGTCACTGACTGGTTCAAGCTGCTCCAGCATGAGAGTTCATAGCTCCTCTTTGTTGTCTGATCAGGAACTGCATTTATGCTGACTTGTATCATTTTGAATGTGATGTGGTGGGTCTTTGGATAGTCGTGCGTCAAAAGCACATTTGAAGACACCGTCCTTTTGAACTTTTACTTGAAACCTTGTGCTGTTTTCTGGCACTTTTTAAAGACCAAAACACTGAATAGTAAGATTTTCATAATGAATTTCACTAGGGCTCTAATTAAGGCTCTATTTACAGCAGCTCTAATATAATAATTTAGTTTGAATGATTTATTTGGTGAAAACAAAATCACAATAAGATTTTGTTGCTCATTAATGATTTTGATTATGTGATCACAAGAAATCAAAACATGACAGTGAAGTGCACGTCTTCTCCAGTGACATGAAAGTAGCACTTTGCAATGAGACCTACTCTATCCAGATGAGTGTCTTCCTTATTCAGGACTATCCCACCAGAGCAGCAGGCCGAGGCCGACGAGCTGGCAGCAGAGGTCGCTGAGCTGCATGCCACCAACATGCATGAATTACAGGAAGCGGTAGGTGGTGATGAATGGTCCAAGTAATAAAACATGTTGCTGTGTGAGCTGTTGCTCGAAGTGAACTCAACTCCTCTCCTTTCAGAATGTACTAAATGAGAACATTGCAGAATGGAAGACCAAGATCGCAGAGAAGTCTCAGAAACTGGTGTGTGACTTACCTAAATATTTATTACCTTTATATGTTTTTGTTTGCTCTTAAATCCCAGACCTCCTCTGAAGGAATAAAAAAAAACCCACAGAACAAGTGCCAAAGACTGAGTTAAAAGATGTGTTGTTTGAATATGTATGTGACAGGCCCAGGTGAAGGTGGATATCAGCAGCCTGAAGGAAGAAATCGGCAAACTCAAGTCTCAAATCGTGGAGTCTCCAGAGGAGCTGAAGAGCCAGATGGAGAAGATGAGGGAGAATGTCAGGATCATCAAGAACTCCATTGTGAGTAGAAAAGAAAACGGAGATCCATGGCTCTAAAGGTTTGCATGTTCGAATGAGGTGAGACTGGCATATAGCAACCAGCTGTGGCAAGTTTCTGATGGCACTGATTTCAGAAAGAAGCAGATGAGCGTGTGGTGGAGCTGCAGAACATGGTGCAGAACACGACTCACGCTGAGGCTGAGATCCAGCAGATGTACAATCTGCTGCAGGACCTGGAAAGCAGCATGAACACCACCAAGCAGAGACAGGAGGAGGTATGAACCGTGCACAAGTGTTCCGTGTTTAGATTAGAGATGTCCAGGGCTGATTGGCAAATTTTAAACTTGTTTCAGCTAAAATGAAGGTCCCAAAAACATTTCATCCAGATTCATTCATTACCTTTTGAGTTGAGCTGTGAACAAACAAATGCTGGTAAAAACATTACTCCTGCCCTTGGCAGAGGTAATGACTGGTTTTATTTACTCTAATTTGGATGATTGTCAGTGAATCCAGACATGAAATGGTTTTATCACTTTTACCTGTTGCAAAAATGATACAAGCACACTGGACTCATAACTTGTCACTGTGCATAATGATTGCATCTGTGTGTGAGCAGTACCAGGAGCTGACAATTCAACACGAGAAGGTTCAGAAGGAGCTGAAAAACCTGTGTATGGAGGAAGGCCAGTTGAAGCGCTCTTTGGCCATGAAGCTGGACAAAGAGTCCAAACAGAGCATTCGCAGACGGATGAAGAAAGAGATGAAGGAGCAGCACATTCAAGATGTTTTGGGGTACTTCATGCGATACAGCACGATTCACTACTGGTCTTGTTTATAACATCATGGAATGTACATTGTAGTAAATTGGATCAGTAGACAGATTTGGTCAGATCAGATTAGATTTGACAGTCCTGTTCTGTAAAATAAAAGCAAAATATTCCTGTTCTCCAGGCAGTGTGATCAAATCCATCTGAAGCGTGAGGAAATGGCCAACAAAATCCAGGAGATCTCTAGAGAGACGCAGCAACTGAAAGCCAAGACCCAGAACCTGAGAGACATCGGTAGTAAAGAGACAGAGAAAGCTCAGGTACAAGCACCTCCAGAATGTCTGCTTCACTGTCTTCCTGTTGTTGTTGTTTTTGTTTTTTGGGGGGAATTTCACCCATGGATTCAGACCAACATGTTTCACTTCATTGTGTCCAGGCTCTGTTTGATAGCCTGTCAGCTTCACTTGAAGACTTGCACAGAAGAATTGAGATGCAAACGATGGACCTGAAAAAAGATGTTGTCAAGATGTCGGCCAACTTTTGAGTTCATTTTTGTCAGTTACATTATGTCCTACTTATGTCATGTATTTGTGTTTTAACATTAAAACTTAAAAAGTTGTATGTTAAATGAAATTTGAAATAGTTTCATGTACATTAGTTAATAAATCTGTTCTGTCTAAATGGTGCAGCTCAAAGCCTTCCTTGCTTCAGGAGGAGCAAATATACTGTTGTATGTTCAAGAATGGCAAGACAGTAGCCACATGTTAACGTTGCTACTGTACAATCTAAGTTTTGTACATAGGTGTTCTGTGATCAGTCATTTGGGAAAGTTTGTAAAAACCTGAACCTTGGTATGTTTGTGGAGTAGGGTTATTCAAGCAGATTTTGATGTTTTCTCTGGTGAGAATTCCTTCCTGGAGCCAGAAGCAAATTTGATTTGATTTGATTTGATTTGATTTATTCTTTCAAGCATATAAAACAGTTGATATAACAACAACACACATTTTTACACACAATCCAATATCAATTTGCTTATACCTAGTACATGCTTGAATGAAGTAGGAAGAAGTCAGACTTATCCAGTCCTACCCCATGACATCATCTTACCATCATTGGTTTGCAAGCAATAAATGATTCACTTCTACACTCACACATATTATACTAAAAAAGAATATAACAGTGTTAACATTCCTACATCACACCAGTGATGTATTAAAGAATGGTTACAAAATCTACACCACACCCACAATAGTCCATGTAGTTAATCATTGAGCCTGTTCATGCATACTGTATATCTTGCTTGACACATACCTTTATATTTACGTTTAAACACGTCAATTCTATTACTATTTTTTATGTCCACACTTAAATTATTCCATAGTTTTACCCCACTTATAGAAATACAAAATCTTTTTTTGGTTGTACATATAGCATGAATTTTTAAATTTAACTGACCCCTTAAATTGTATCCCCCTTCCCTTTCATTAAATAGTTTTTGAATTCCACCAGGTAATAAATTGTTCCTGGCTTTATACAAAAACACAGCAGTCTTATATCCCACTAAATCAAAAAATTGTAACAATTTAGACTGTATGAAAGCTACATTGGTGTGATCCCTATATCCCATCTTATGCACAATTCTTATCGCTCTTTTTTTGTAATATATACAGTGGTTGAAGTGAGCTTGTGTACAGTATGTATTTCCCCAGTTTTCAGCGCCATACT